GCTGCATTCACAGCTGCTAATATGTTTTAAAGTTGCATAAATATGTGTGTGTGTGCTGAACATGTCACACATCATCCTAAAGGCTCAAATGTAATATTTCAACATCTGCACACTGCATGGGCTGTTGCTCACTTGTCGCCTGCTGTGGCATGTCTACTGGTGGTGCCCATGTGAGACCACACCCATGTTTGGCTGGTATTACTTCTGGGCTTGCGCCATAATCAAACATCTGTGTCTGAAGATAAAACTTGTGGTCTATGAAGATTCAACTTGTCAGATGTTTTCATGTGATCACATATAAGGTCAGTGTAAAGTGAGCTGTGTGGGACAATAATAAACAGAGCACACTTTAAAAAACAAACCACTGCAGAAAATGAGAAATAGGACTTAAATGCAAATGTTGACAGCAGACCGATTTGAACAGGTGACTTAAATTGCTTCCTGTTTTGTAAGCATTGTGCTCATACTGTATAAACAGCTTGTGTGTGTTTGGCTCATAAACGTAATAAAGTTTATTTCTTTTGCATTTTTTCTTCAATCAGTACAACATAAGTAGTGGTGAGTAATTTAGGGATTTAAAAGGTGCTAAACCAGTTATGTGAAAGATTCAACTCAATCTTATTGTGGATGGTTTTGTTAGTGCTTTACTGGCGACAGATATAATAAAAAATGCATACATCTAGAGGTTAATGGTGCTGAAAATGCTTTGGCATCCGTCTTGGTTTGTGGGTGTCAGTCACTCTGTGGAAGCTGCTGACTCATAGCGAAAGAGCCCGACACCATCAGACTCCTGCTCAGTGTTCAACTGTGTGTGTCACGCTACAGCTGGGCGACATAATGAGCTTTTAAGATCTATGGATATATTTTTTAAACAAGATATAGGGCAAGACAAAATTGTTTATATCAACATAGTTTATGTTGCGATAAATTAATATAATAATAATAATAATAATAATAACTTTATTTATGTAGCACCTTTTTAAAAACACAGGTTTACAAAGTGCTTTGACAAACAGCAAAAACAAACAAACTAAACCAAACACAGAAGAACATAAACAACAACAAGAACAAACAAATACAAAATACTAAAAATAATTAAATACAATTCAACAGAAAAGAACCCAAAGTGCACGATACACAACAGACATATAGAACCCAACCATCACAAGAACCATCACAAGAACCATCATAAGAACCATCATAAGAACCATCACAAGAACAATCATAAGAACCATCATAAGAACCATCACAAGAACCATCATAAGAACCATCACAAGAACCATCACAAGAACCATCATAAGAACCATCATAAGAACCATCACAAGAACAATCATAAGAACCATCATAAGAACCATCACAAGAACCATCATAAGAACAATCATAAGAACCATCATAAAAACCATTATAAGAACCATCAGGCAACACAGAACCATCATAAGAACCATCACAAGAACCATCACAAGAACCATCATAAGAACCATCACAAGAACCATCACAAGAACCATCATAAGAACCATCATAAGAACCATCATAAGAACAATCATAAGAACCATCATAAGAACCATTATAAGAACCATCAGGCAACACAAGAACCATCATAAGAACCATCACAAGAACCATCACAAGAACCATCATAAGAACAATCATAAGAACCATCATAAGAACCATCACAAGAACCATCACAAGAACCATCACAAGAACCATCATAAGAACCCAACAACACGAGCTGAGACCAAGAGGAGCAAAGATTGAAAAAGATGTAAGAAACTAAAAGAGATAAAAACAAATAAAAAGATAACAACAATAAGAAGGTAAGAGCAGAAAAAGAAATAGAAACAAGTGGTTAAAGGATCAAACAAACAAAAACTATAATATTAATAAAAATAAAAAGTAAATATAAATAATAATAATAAATAAATGTATAATGTTATGTGTTTCTTCAGCACAGCTGCCAGATCGTCTGTTTCTCTGACTGTCAGTCCGTCTTCATCCTGCTCCGCCTCTCTCTGTTTGTTTTTTGTCATGCAGGAAAGGCGCCCTTTTTTTATTTTGTTTTATTTAAGGAGCATTTTATTTAATACTATTTATTTTTTATTTCACAAATGGGTTTGAACATGTCGACATTGTGCAGCTGGTTGTTAATAAAAGTGCAGAGATATGTTTTTTTGTTCCATTTTGTGCAGCCGGATGTCACAGTTGTTGAAGAACTTGTTGTGTCAAACATGTTTTGTTGATTGGAGAAACCTTCTGTGAGTTTTCAGTTGTCAGCTGGCGGTGCTTTATAGCCCATATCTCATTTTCTTATTTCTACATCTTTTCAATAGTTTTGTTTCTGTCTTCCATCGGACCTGACAAACCTGAACCTCAAAGACTGTCAAAACTTAAACTCTTTACCCCGACTACATTTGACAAATGTGCTTGAAGCTATTTTCCATGTTGTCGAGCACACAAGCTGTTGACTCTCATTAACGTTCATGTCTGTGGAGGTTTTGAGTCTGTCAGACTTTCATCCTGTTTTAAAAATGTCTTTTCATGCACACAGGGAAGTTGTGAAACTACCTGAAATTGTGGTATCAATCAAATTTATTATCATTAAAGAAGAGTTACAAAAGAACAAAAACTAAAATGCAAAATTCATTTTCTTTATAATGAAACTAAAATAAAAACCGAGGCTTTACCAAAAACAGAGAACTAACTGAAACGGTGTTGTGTGTTTACAAAACTAACTAATATAAAATAATAGCGTAAATATATTTAGTTTTTGTCTTTGACAGAAACATAGCGAGTGACACACAGCCTATCTTTACGATCTGTCTCAGTTAAGTCAGTTTCAATCTCAGATGAGCTCTCTGACAGCAGAAATTGGAACATTTGTTCTGTTGTTTATACAATAATTTATAGGGTAAGGGTTAAATATACAGAGACAAAATCTTAACTCAAACTCAGCATTTTCACAAATTAGAACTGATGAATGGACTTGAGCTTGTATCCTATAAAGGTCACACCTACTCATTCACATCCATTCACACACTGAAGGCCGAGGCTGCTGTGTAAAGTGTCCCATCAGTATTAACTAATCCCATTCATACTTATTCATATGCCACCGCCAAAGCAGCGGGAGCAACCTGGGGTCAAGTGTCTTCCCTAAGGACGCATCGACATTTGCCTGCAGGAGCTGAGGATCGAAGGGGGACCCTCAAACTAAACTTTAGAAACTAAACTAACAGCATTAAAAATGTATGAAAACTGAACTGAAATTGAAAACAAATAGTCAAAAAATGTAAATACATGAATGACAAATCCCAAACCATTATACCCTTGGTATCAATTAATATGAGCAGAGTGTTGCTAGCAGAGAATGTAAAGCTACAGGATGTCACCTCTCAGTGTTTCTCACCAAAATTATTAGATTTATTTTATTACTCAGGATCGGGAGAACTCTGAGTCAGAGACTTCTCAACGGTTATTTTGCTCTTACCTTAACAACAATACATTCAGAATATAACCAGAGTGATTGTTAATTGTTCACTGTTGTGCTTAGACCTAAATGTCCCCCTTGACTATAACAGAGCTATTGTTCATGTTTTTAGTAACATCTCCATGTTTTGTTCTGTAACATCCGCTGTGAACGAGGCCTGCTGTTAATTTAAAATCAATCAAGAGCCAGTTTCTACTGCACATGTTGAGAATATATGGACAACACAAGTTGATCTCGTTTTGATTAACATATAAGAAAGAAGCACTCCCCCCCCCCCCCTTCTACCATCTGACCATGAGTCATGTCCCAGGCATGCTGGTTATCTGGTCAGCTCAGTTTCTTCTAACCAGCCTGTTTCCCTGCAACAGCCAGAGGAAGAACAGTCAATACGATTTTAGCAACCGCTGTGGACAAAGTGGTATGTCTTGACTCTTTGCTCACCTTGTCATTTTCTTGTATTTAGTATTCCCTGACACAAAATGCAGTGTTCAACATCTCACCAAGCTTGACAAACTGTCACACATGACAGATGATTGAAAAACCTCCCTGCCCTCGTGCTGTTTCCTTGGACAGTTGACCTCTAACATCTCCTCAGCAGCTGCCCCGGCTTTTTGACATTACTCAGAGCAGTCGCAGAAGTTCTCACTGCAGCCATTCAAAGCAGCAAATTCACCTGCGGTAGAAATCCATCTCTTTACTCACAGGTGGAGAAAATCTCCTTCTATGACAACAGACAAAGACCCTACACTCTCCACAGCCTCAATCCCTTTCAGCTCAAATAAACAATTAATGTAACAGAGATTTAGCAAACCACATTTTTGGACAAATCTGTACTTATATTTAAAAAAAGAAACAAAATTCAGCTTAGATAATTTCAGAGAATATCACTCACACAGCCTCTTTGATGCATCAGGTGTGCATGATCCAAAAGATATAAAAAGGTAACAGTTTTTTTGCCTTTATTCAGAGGATATGTCAGTGGATAGAGTAGGAAAGTGGGGAATGACGAGTGACAGAGAGCTGAGGGTTACAGTTGATCACACACACAAGTGTTCGGGTTACAGCCGAACACTTTGCTGTAGCCGCTCAGCTAAACTGTGCTACTAATCAGACTTCCTCTCTCATTTGATGTTATTTAAAAGAGAGGAAGCTTCTTTTAAGTCACCAGATCAGGCACCTAATGGGTCTGCACACACACACACACACACACACGCAAACGGAGGCATTCAACTTGCGTCATGTATTTGCTTTGCTGGTAAGCTTTAGTCAAACATGACTGTCCGAGTTTGTGCTTGTCATCCTGTTAAAAAGACGGGTGGGATAGCTTATCAAGTGTGTATTTGACTATCGTGTGCGTGTGCGTGTGTGTGTGTGAGTTGAGGAAGGATATCATTCTTTCTAAGCCTTAACTAACTACAATATAAACAGCTTCAGGAGGACATGGAGGAAAAGGAAACACAGTGTCATCCTTTGTGTTATACAAATATATAAAAAAATCCTGAGAAGTGAAATAAAGAACATCAGGTCTTACTGTGTGTATGTCTGTGTGTGCAGGGGGATGGTGGTTTCCTATGTTGGCCAGTCTTTCTCTGCACTGAGGAAACAGTGCCAGCAGAAAGGAGTCCTGTTTGAAGACCCTCTGTTCCCAACAACTGACCAGTCGCTGTTTTACCAGAGCAACCGCATCGGGAGTGTCACCTGGAAAAGACCGAAGGTGAGAGAAAAGCAAGTTTTCTTCAATAAGTTTGCGAGACTCTAAACTATTTCAGGGAATTTCCTAAAGTGTCTCCATTGTTCATTTTGTAAATCCTCCACATGGTCCTCTTCACACAAGTGTATTAAAGTTATTTCCTTAGCTGTTGGCTTCAATCAAAAATAAAGAGTCAACTCACATTAGATAAACAACAACAAAGACTAAGATTACAAATTGATGAGTCTTAAAAAAAAGTAAGCATTTTCAGATCAGAAATGTTCGGCTATTGCTGCACCACATTGAGTTGATTCACTGTGGATATTCAGTATGGATGAAAAAAAGGTCGTTAGAAAGAAAAGTGGGATTGTGGTCGTGAGACAAGTACAAAGGAGAGTATGCAAATACAGAGAGGGGGAGAGGTAACACTGACGAAGAAGAATTTATGGAATGAACCCGACTGAAAATCCAGTTCTGTCGCACATGAAGATGTTTCTGTCTGTCTGTATTTGATTATGTTTTTGTCTGCTCTTTGAACAAATATGTCAGCAGCCAAACATGTTTAGGTGTTTCCAGTGGTTACTGAGTGATAGTAAATTGACTTAGTTTTGACTGATTGATAGAACTTTTAACAAAGTCTGATATTTGTCTTGCATCACAGCAGCTCCATTTGCAACATAACAATTAAAGACAAGATAAAAAGATACAAACATTTGGAGCGCTAATAGCCTAGCGGTTATGTCAAGCGCCCCATGTACAGAGGCTATAGTCCTTGTTGCAGTGGCCGTGGGTTCAAGTCCGACTTCGGCCCTTTGCTCTGCATGTCATCTCCCACTCTCTCCTCCCATAATTTCATGTCTCTCTTCATCCGTCCTATCCAATAAAGACTAAAATAGCCCAAAAATATTTAAAAAAAAGATAGAAACATTTGACACAACATTCAAACACCAAACAAATATTTAGAGGCTCATAGTTAAAATGCAAACAAAACTGCAACTTCCTGAAAAGATAAACAAACACTAAAGTCACAGTGCCTCCCTCACCACAGCATGAAACATAAAACATTTGTATTTTAAAGTCTTATCGTGATAATTACAACACCACTGTAGGTTTTTCTTTCACTTTATTTATTCTTTTGGTCATTTTTCAGCGAGTAGACATCACAGTGTGACGATAGATTAATGATTAACTGAAACATCTTAACAAATAGCCTCAGTCTAGAATAAACATTTACCTTGTTGGATGTCACAGAGGTATTTGATGAAACTGGAAGAACATTTTGAAAACCACTGCATGTTGCTGAACAGTTTTTTTGTGAATGGTGTTGTTCATTGCAGCAGTTTCCACTGCAGCAGTTTGATGATTTGAGATGGATGATGGGAAATATGATGCTCATAATGGAGTTATTGTCTAAAAGCTTTTCAGCTTCTATCTGCAGATGTTCACGCTGTATGAACGCCATGATTCATCAGAATCTGAAATACTTTATTAATCCCGGGGGGAAATGTGGTCGTGACAGAAGCTCTCAAACACAATATAAAGTAGGAAATATAGAATATAGAATAAAATAGAAATTTAAGTAGAAACTAAGTAAGTTCAGGGTATCCGAATAAGTACAGTAATTACTGTATTTTCCGCACTATAAGGCGCACTGGATTATAAAGCGCACCTTTAATGAATGGCCTATTTTAGAACTGTTTTCATATATAGGGTGCACCGGATTATAAGGCGCATAGAATAGAACGTGTTTACAACTGAACAAGGCTGGGAGATATTGTGAATATATAAATATAAATATGTATAAAACGTAGTTTTATACGTAGTGCATTCACAATAACTCAACGTTGTTCAAACGTTAATGTGCATATTCACAATATCTCCCAGCCTTGTTCAGTTGTAAACACGTAAAAGAAACACAGTCTGATACCGCTAATTCAAACGTTAGTGCATAACTCAACATTGTTCAGTTACGTATAACACGTAAAGCTCACTTTTTCAGTTCATTCCCCGTCCACGAATCCCTCGAATTCTTCTTCTTCAGTGTCCGAATTGAACAGTTGGGCGAGTACGGCATCCAACATGCCCGGCTCCCTCTCGTCATTATCCGAGTCAGTGTCGCTGAGCGCCGTGTACAACCAGTATGGATCAACCAATTAACCAATTGATCCATATATAAGGCGCTCCGGATTATAAGGCGCACTGTCGTTTTTTGAGAAAATTAAAGGCTTTTAAGTGCGCCTTATAGTGCGGAAAATACGGTAGCTATATGATAAGTAGTAAGCTACAGGAGCGACTGTAACAGGCTGGTTGCACAGTGGGCGCAATTAAGCCACACAAGATAATGGTTTTGATTTATATTCACATGTTTCTACCTGAGCAGAACAATTCTCAGTTCAGGCCAGTTTATAGATTTTAAACAGAAAATGTCATCTATTAAACCTCTTATCTGAACTAAAAGCGAAGTGATTCTGAAAAAAATTTCTGTCTGTGTTAAAAGGAGATATGGGATGGTTGGGCTTTAGTTTAACATGAGGACAAGACTTTTTAATTTGAGAATTACAGTTCTTTTTTTTTCCCATTCAAAGTCATTTTTACTGAAAGTCTGGTTCAAACATGACATGCAGACGTTTGTCTTCCCTCAGTATATATACAGTGTAAAAGCACACACAGCGTAAATCTAAACCATAACGTGTTCTTGTTGTCAATCAGCGATGGTCCCAGATGCTGAATAATTAAACAGGAAACTGAAAGCTTTCACATTGATCGATGTTATTGATCCGTCCAGGGAGTGTAGAAAGAGGAAACTTCTGATTGTTTCCCCCTAAACTAATCAATCAGTCTCAAAGTGAAACCTAAAAAGCGACTTGTTTTCAAATTTAAGTTTCTAAAAGTCCAAGAAATGATGTGAAATCAAAGGACAGAAAGTCAAAGTGAAACATATTGTAATGTTCTGCAAAAATCATGTACAAATGTATGTAAGCAGCAGGTCAAACTAATGTTTTCTCTTTAAACCTGGTGTATTCATACGACTTCTATACATACAAGAGGTTACACTGAGAGGGTGAAAGTAAACGAATACAAACATGATGAGTTGTTTCTTTAATAAATCATATTCACATTTTTAACAGAAAGAGTAAAGAGACACTTTTCTTTTCTTTTTTTCAGTGACACCATTTTACACCAGACATGTGAAACACACGCTGTAGATTATATTCTACAGATTCAATAACTGTGTGTGTGTGTGTGTGTGTGTGTGTGTGTGTGTGTGTGTGTGTGTGTGTGTGTGTGTGTGTGTGTGTGTGTGTGTGTGTGTGTGTGTGGTGTGTGTGTGTGTGTGTGTGTGTGTGTGTGTGTGTGTGTGTGTGTGTGTGTGTGTGTGTGTGTGTGTGTGTGTGTGTGTGTGTGTGTGTGTGTGTGTGTGTCTTTTTGTAGTTGAAAAGAAGACTACATTCATAGTACTGTATGTTTAAGTGGCTACAGTATGTGAACTTTAAATAGTGACCTCTAATTTAGTTAAATGGCCGCACGGCGAGGGGCATTTAGGATCCTTTCTGGCTGGTTAATAATAACATACATCAGTCCGTTTGTCACTGTACTGAAGAAACAACCTTTCTTTGCAGTGACTTCTGAAAACATCTTCTGACAATTTGTGAAATAATGAAAGTGAAGCTGATTAGCGTGTCATATGTCCTTTTTGAGATGTAACATGTTAATAAGTGTGGGGTACAATAAGCCTTTTATAGGTCGGTCTTTACACAGTTAGTGGTGTTCTGGGGTGTCTCTGGTTTATCGCGGTCCTATCATTTGGCTGCCGTCCTGTCAGTCGACCTCTGTGTGGTTTGTTTTGAACATTCAAAAGAGATTTTTTTAACTCAACATCAGATTTGTATTTACTTAAGGATGGCTGAGTGAGTTCTCTCGCTCACGCCCTACTTCACAATCATCCACGCCTGGCAGCTGGCGAGTATTGACCACCTCTTGTGCTTGCTGATCATCGAACAGCTTCTATGCAGCAGCAGATATGCCAGGGAAAAAAACAACACAGATATTGTATGCATTAGAAAAGAACTGTTTATAAGAGGCAGAAGAATTGTAAAACTCAGCTCATAAATTAACTTTGAAAATGGGAGAAAATCAAAGCTCGTCCTTCTTTTATGGGTCAATAGTTTGATAGATTTTCCCCCCTGATGTTTTCATATACAGCTGAGATGTTTACCCGGGTTTGAAACCTTTTGAATGAAAGAATTGGTTATCTGTGTTTTAAACTATTCCATGAATGTGATGATTATCAAAAGTTTCAAAGGATTTTCACTCTAATCCTCTTTTTTAAATAATTGGAGGAAAAAATAATATATTGTATTTGAGATTGTAAGAAAAAGTAAATGCTGATTAACTACAAATTAAAATGTTCTTCTTCCTTGCAGGAGTTATGCAGCAACCCCCATTTATTTGTAGATGGCATCAGTGCACACGACCTGCACCAAGGCCAGCTGGGAAACTGCTGGTTTGTCGCCGCTTGCTCCAGCCTGGCCTCCAGAGAAGCTCTATGGCGGAAGGTGAGACAAAGACACGCAGACAAATCTGTAATTTAAACCTCTTTTATTGTTTGGATGGTTTTGTTCTCTTGACTTAAAAAAAAGACAATATTAATATTCCCAAAGGAATCTGTCAGAAGACCTGAAAAACGAACAAAACATCAGACAACATCAAAAACAGACCTCACAATAACAAAACAAAAACTCAACAATCCAGAATCTAGTGAAACAATAAAGAGCACAACATCAGTTAAAGACTTCAATAGAAAAGGTCAAAGGCACAGCCTCTAGTCTAGAGTGTGTGCTTTGATCGGGCTGAAGAGGTTGTGTGTATAGGTGTGTATTTGTCAGATTTGTGCGACTGGGTGTGTGTTTATTTTAGATTACTCTTACACTACCAGCAACATCTGAAAAGCGACTTGAAACAATAAGAAAGAAACCTGTCAGCTGATTAGTTTCAGTGTCAGGCCATCAGGTCCTCGTGTTATTGATGTTTTATAGACTTCTGCTGTACGAGGTCACAGACACTAAATATAGTGCGTTGTTACCTTTTATAAAACATGGACAATTTTCACAACAGAAAACATTTACAATAATTAAAGTACCAAACATTTAACATTTTGTGTTCTGACGCAGCTCAGAGTAGGACTTTACATCCTAAACAAATAATATTATCATGTTAATATAGTGACTTCATGACAAGAAAACTTCAAAGTCAACTTTTTAAATATCTTAATTTAATTCTGAATGAGTTTAAGTCCAAGTCATGCATAAGTCCAATGTAATATTATTATTTTAAATTTTATAAATTCATAGAAAAATGTCTCAGGACTTGAGTTGGATGACTCTGCTATAAAAAATAATTTCATCCATTAGGTGGCATCAGTTAGCTTCATTAACAGCCCAGTTTTTCAGAGAGGAGACAGCTACCTCTGTACATTTCAGACAGTTGATGATAAATATTCAACCTTCTATTAATCAGATTTTTATAAGTGTTTCACTTTTTTTCTATCAATCATGTTATAAAGTTTAAGACTTGTCTTTGAGAGTTTTATCTGTTTTAATAGCCTGACATCAAACTTCTGATTGGTACCTCTTTTACAAGATAAAGTCCATAAGTAGCTGGAGAGCATACATCTTTTATTTGGCTTGTTTTCCTCACAAAGTGTGTGAACAGAAGTGGATTCACTTCCTTACCCTGAAGCACGTCTGCAGAACATTTTTTTTTTTCTGTGTTTGTCAGATGAAACCTGTGAGACTTAAAGCTCCTTCAGACATTTAAAAAAAACATGACAGCGTTGTAAGAGTCCTGGCTGTGGGTGTTCATCGTGTGCTTCCTCGCTGCTTCTTTCCGCTTGTCGGTTTACTCACTTCTCCGCTGTGCTCTCTGAGGACGTCTGCAGCGCTCAGTTTTCCATCTGCTGAAGGGAAACTTCATCTCGTTTTAGGTGTTGTTGCCTCAGTGGAGCATTCAGTTGTCGTGAGACCCGTCGATGGTCCAAAAACAAACAAACACTGGTCCTTAAACACTTAAGCCTCTGGTGTGATGAAGGAAAACCAGACACTTCATTTGAAGACAGTTATGACCTCATTATTTTGGACCAACCTGAGACGACTTGTAGTCACAATCCTTTAGGACCGTCTCTTTAAACATGACTTACTCTCATTCAGATCAGATTTAAACTCCATCTTAAAATGCACACTTCATTTTGAGTTTATAAAGTTGCTTCTTTAAGATGTAGTCCTCACATTTTCATTGTTAGTAATCATTATTCTTAATGATTTGTATTCAGCACTGATACAGACCTGATGTGTCTGTTTTCTATCTTGTGCTGATTTTGCAATTTGCATTAATTGTTTTAATTGTGTTGCCATTTATTACACAAGGGTCATAATTCAGCTGTTAATATTTAGTTACTCATCTTTTAAATGTTATTTTTTGGGGCTTTAGTCTTTATTGGTCAACTTAAGAGACACGGGAAATGTGGAGAGGCGAGAGTAGAAATCTCTCAAATCCATCAAAGGGCCGAGGTTGCACAGAGGACTGTAACCTTTGTAAACTGGGCGCATGCTAAACCAACCGAGCATAACCAGAGCTCCATCATTTATCCTTTTGAATCAACATTCATCATGCAGATAAAGATTTTGACAAAACCAAAGCGACCACTTAGTAGCTTATCTGAGGCTTTCATTCATGAATTATAGTATATGTTTTTTATTTGTATTAATTGTAAATCGATGTAAAAACCTGTTTGTTGCCGTGGTGATGCAGCTCTGTCTTTCTGACTCTCCTCAGTGGAGAAGCAAAAACGTCTCTGCTACTGGAAAATGAGATTCTCTCTGTCAGGTCACAGAATATTACAAACAGCTGATTCAGTTTTCCACTTGTAAATACATCTTAAAATATTTTCTGTAGGGAAGTTGATCCATGAAACTATTTCAAAGCACCTTTGCTAATCTCCAAACTAAATTTATTATGAGTTACTGTACGTTTCATCGTTCAGAGAAGTAAATAAAGGAATATTTAGATCTTATATTTGTTGAACATTGGGGGTTAAGAATATCAATATCGTTTTTTGTCTTCTGTAATGTCACAAAGTCAAACTTTTTTCAGGTTTTCAATAAGATTTTTAGTTTTTTGTATCATCAGGCTGTCCTTTTGGGATGAAGATCTATGTAAGAAAGACCTGAGAAAATCAAATGTTCATTGAATTAGAAAAGTAGTTCAGCTCAGAGACACAAAGGAAGAAAAAGATACAAAGATGAATTTAAATCAATCACATTAACCACAAAAGAAACCTAAGATGCTTCGTTCTTGTATACATTATTTAAATGAGAGAATAATTGTGAGGTTGATAGGGTAATATTTAAAGACCTCTGCCCGTAGTCCCCCCCACTGCCCCCCCTTTCCTCTGCCTTTATCCACCGATTAAAATGAGAACCAATGAGAACACACAGACAGCTTTCAGTCGATATTTAATAGATGTCACTCCACTGATCTCTGTTTTGTGTCAGGTCGACAGTCATGCAACGTGAATATTTGATATTCCACTCACAGCCACTTGTTCTGCATCTATCTGATACTTGAAGAGGGATTAAAAGAATTCCTAAACAAAACATCGACGGTAACAACAACTCTAAGAACAAGTCACTCTTTAAACACACGTTTCATCACAATATCCAGCTGAGCGGTGAAGGGATGATTTATTTACAAGAGGAATATTTGGATTGTAGTTCAAAGTTTTTGTATTCAAAAAGTGATGCTCTTATTCAACATTTTAATTTATGATGAGTTATAAAAAACTTACTCATTTGTTTTATATCATGTGAAGAAAACTCTTGTCAGTGGAAACCTTTTTATACAATCCTTAACATTATTAACAATATTTTGATCTTCTGAGGAGCACCAGGAACCAAAACTTTACTTTTACTTTTTTTTTAGTTTTAAAGGAAGACTAAATGAAGCGTGTTCATATTTGTTCTATCTCAGGATTGTGTAGTTTTAACTTAAAAAGTGTGCCCTGTTTTGTGAGAAATACTTTCTTCAAAGCTCTAGTGCCATAAGTGCTTCAAAAACTTTGACTGAGCTCATAAAGGGGAAATTAAAAACATACTATTTGTGCTAAACTTTTAAAGCCAACAATCATGAAATTTGTATAAAGTTTGCAGATTTGTGACTATGACTTTGATATCTGAGTGAATTTGGATTTTTTTTTGACTCACTCAGCTCTAGTTTGAGGCTTTTAAAGGTCAAAGATTGAACAAAATATTGCACTCTACATGGATTCTACTGACAAGAAGTAAAAAAGTCATTTCTCTGGTGTGAACTCCAGGGAGCAGCTAAGATTGGCTGCCTCCGCCCCATCCTTGAAAGCCAACAGGAAGTACATAACCTTCCTGACCTTTGCCAGCTCAGCAATCCTTTCGCCGAACTCCAGCATATCCGCCTCCAGCCATTTGAGCGGGGAATCCTCGGGGTCGTTAGCGTTCCGCCAGAACGTTCCGATGGGCTCCAGTAGCTGGCGGGTCATCAGGTTGGTGAGGTCGGGGGTCCAGAGTTGGCAAATGCCTGTGATGGTGACACGACCGTGGCCGGTTAAGGAGAAGTACCAGCGTGAGAAGTTCAGCTCCTGATTGTTGAAATCCAGCCGATACACGAACTCATGAGGGAGAAGAAGACGCTCTCCGTCCTGACGCTTCTGACCCGTTTTCTGCAAAGACGACACGCGGAGACGCATCATCTACAGAGGAGATAAAACGACACAATCAATGAGATGGAAAAAGAGAAGGATTGAAGAAGAACAGATGACAGAAGATGAAGCCAAAAAAACATTTTAAAGAAGAAGATACAATTTAAAGACAAAAGAGACTCAACTTGAAGCCCCTACAATTCTACAATTCTACAATTCACTTAGCAGACGCTTTTATCCAAAGCGACGTACATCAGAGAGTAAGAACAACACAAGCAAGGATCTAGAAAAAAGGGAACAATGTCAGTAAGAGCAAACGATCAGCTTTGAGTCTGATTGGACACACAGGTGCTGACAGGAAGTGACCAGAGGCAAAGCACAACATTGAGGGCAGTTCTTGAGAGCTCTAATCAGTATAGAAACCATCTTATAAGTCATCGTTATCAAACAAAAACCATCGTCATTACCATCATCATCATCAATAATATGGAGACCATCATCATTAAGTTAGTAGGTATTCATGAAAGAGCTGGGTCTTTAGCTTTTTCTTAAAGGTGCAGAGGGACTCTGCAGATACATGGAGTTTGGAAGTTCATTCCACCACCGGGGGCGACAGAGGAGAAGAGAGCCCCTCTGCCAACAGTTTTCAAATTATGTTCAGTTCAAGGACTTGAATTTTTCATGCAGCAAAGGGCCGAGGTGGGATTTGAACCCACGGCCGCTGTGCTGAGAATATTGCCTCTGTACATGGGGCGTGCGTAATAACCACTAGGCTATCGCGCCCCGGTATGTTTGATTTTTAATCATTTAAACATTTTCTAGAATATGATCTGAAAACCTTTTGGTGTCACACAAACTCATTATTGTCCATTTTTAAAGGGA